CAGGGCTGTGGCCTTGGTCCTACAATAAAGTCAGAGTTGATTTTTCCTTAAACCTAAGACTCAGTCGTCCTATTGCGACCTTCCTCAACACTATAGTGTAAGCAAGTAACGGAGTAAATACCTGGCCCGTTACAGCGTGCACTTCGATTGCACGGGAGGCTTACGGTTAAGCAGTCGGATTATGTGTGCTTCGCAAAGAACGAGGCGGTGCAGACGTAGCTAGAGGAAGTCTAACTCGCCGTAGAGAAGTTTATTCACACTGCATCCGCATGGGCAAGACAAATGTGAGTAGATAATTTACGATATGGAGTAGACGCTGCACTAATACACGCAGCTGTGAGATGTCATGATTTATGAGCGCTACGCTCAGAGAGCCAAGACCAGAAGATCGACGCTTAGCTCCTCTATAAAGATGAAATGGGCGGCATACTTTACTGAATCAACTTCCTTCAGCTGTAGGTCGTAAATTAGCAGTGCGTTGAGAAACACGGTGAGGTCCCGACACATTAATCGCTGACCAAGAATGTCATTGAAGATATAGCGCTGGCGTGAGAGGTCTCAGTGTTTGCATCTGTCAAACCAACCAAGGAAATGCCGCTGATTCTACACAGCATTGCACAGAAGGCTTAAATGCACTACTAAAACAGGACTACAAAAGCTACGCGTCGATGGCCTAAATCGCGGAGCGTGCCACTTCGCGAAGCCAAGCTAAGAAGGCAAGCGTCTACAAAAACAACGCTAGCCAACTACTACTAGTAAAATGCCGTCGCTACATTTATAACAACGAAAAATGTATCGGTCAAACAAGCACTCGATGTCAGCTTTGAAGCAGAAAGCACCTGCGAAGATTTTGTCGTGTAGATTTTTCATCAGTTGATTCACATACAGCGAAAACAACGGCTGTCATGCTTGCTTGGGTTCGAAGCGGTGTGGAGACTGAGCAGCGTGAGAGCCAACGAAGTTCAAAACGGAAAATCGTAACACATTGCTTATCTAGGCGCTAGATTAATCGATGTCTTCGGAATTTTTGCGCGTTCTTACTTGCATACACATCAGGTAGAACTAGCATATATCTTCTTCATCCGGTGCAAATTATCTGCAATAAAAACGAGATCACGAACGAGCTCAGGCGCCAATGAGCTCCGTTTGGCAGTAATGATGTTACCGCTTGTTGAAAATGCCCTCTCGGATGGCACACTAGTCGCGACAGCACCAAGCCACTTCCTCGCCAGCTTACTGATGCTGGGGTATGCTGCTCGATTGACTGACCACCACGCAAGCGTATCAAAGTCCTGGGGCCTTTTCGGTACGATCAGCGCTTTTGCAATATCCAGGTACTTGACAATTTCATCAGCACATTTCTTCTCCACTGGCGAATTGTCTTCAGACTCGCTGTATCCAAACATTCGATTCAGCACTGGCTCTGGGCTTGCCAATAGCTCTCGTGACGAGCTTTCTGTATTGAATGCTGATAAAGTAACATTGTCAGCCGTATTGACGACGGCTTCCAAAACCTTTTGGCGAGTTTCTGCTAGCTTTTCCGGCTTCACGTGACTCATTGTCTTTGCTACGCGGGGATCCAAGTATCCAATCCAGTCAAGGTTAGTAGTCTCCAGCTTGTCGAATCGGCCTCTGAAGACTCGAAGGACAATGCTCTGACACTCTTTCATCACAACACGGACCTCGTCGACGTATGCTTCGTTGCCAGCGGCGTTTAGCTTACTGTCAATGAGGCACTTATTCTCGAGAACAGCCTGTACAGCATCAATACTCGACATCACAAGTGGCAGTGTCGGGTAAAGTTGGGCCCCGAGTAGTGTTGACACCGTCTCAAATGGCTTTAACAAAGCATACATACAATCAATCGCCAACCAATCCCTGTGTTTGGGCTTTGACAACTTATTGCAGGTGTCTTTAAACTCCATGCGGCCTTCCTCAGAATACAAATACTGAAAGAAAGAGTCCAACGTGCCTTGAAGCTTAACGCTTCGTTGCATCATGGCCAGGCAGCTGTTCCATCGAGTAGGGCAGTCGATGATCATGTTGACGACAGCCGTGTTCTTGTCACCTTTTTTCTGCTGAATCTCAGCAAGACGATTGTGCGCCTTAGCAGATCTTCTAAAATACGTCGACAGGGTTTGGAAAGATTGGACGATATCGCGCATGATTTCCATCGCGCTTTTCTCCAGGTCCAGCAGTACTGTGTCAGCAAATTCGAGAACTTCATCAATTGTTAAATCTCGAAATCGATCCATCTCTCATTTTCGTTCAAGTCGTTGTCACATTCGTACACGATCGTGGTTGAATCCGACTCTTCGTCCACAATCGATGTCCAATCTGGCGTTTCCGTCTCCGAAGACTTCTTTGTCTTCGACAATGCTCCTGAAACAACAAGATGAATATCGTGTGCTAAGCAGGATGTGTTTTCAAACCCCAGAAGCTCCGCGGCTTTTACGATGTTGGACCCAGAGTCATGAACAAATCGCGTACAATTATCCAGAGAAAGATCCCATTTGTCGATCACCTCTTTCAGCTTCGCAGCTAGTATTTCGCCTGTATGAATTCCAGGTAGCTCGATCACTTCAAGCGTCCAATTTCGGGGCTCAAACATATCATTCACATAATGAATTGTGACTGAAATATAGCTACGGGCGTTACGGGCTGTCCAGATATCACTTGTCATTGAGAAGTAGAGACAGGATTTCGTAATATCGCCGCGGACTTCGGCTCTTAAATCTCCGGCAAAAATGACGATGTAACCTCGCAATTGAGTTCGCTTTGGAACACTCAAGATCACATTTCCAAGATTAAGTGTGACATACGCCACAAATTCTAGAAATCCTTCGTCCTCGATTAAAATCAGTGGACGAAAATGCGCAGCAATCCATCGTGCCAGTAGCATGTTCACATGCTCCTGCTGTTCGGAAGTAATTGTACGATGGTTTTCACCTGCTTCATCGAATGCCGAAGTCAGGGTGCGGGCTAACCGAGCGTGTTGTGCTTGACGTTCTTGCTCTTCGTACTCGGTCATCTCAGCTTCGTGATATTTTGTCATGTGAGGAAGCACCTTTTGATTCGAAGTCACAAAATATATCGAAAGCTTGCATTCTTTGCAGAATGCGAATGCCGCGTGTCGGTTTTGGAGCTCGGCGTCCGACAGGTACCAATGATTCGGGTGAGCGAATAGATCAACAAATATCCACAGAACTGGTCTGTGTTGCCGCTTAGTCGTAAAAAGCCGAGGTGGATTGGATTCGAATCGTATACCGGGTGCGCATAAACCACGGTAGGTGTCAGCTAGCTCCGAAGCTGGATCTCGATGAAGAGGAGAGCTTTGCAATGATGAACTTGAGTCGGAGTGGCCTCTCGCTGTCGAGCTGTGATTGTTGTTGGAGTGCAACGCGTGCTCTGCTCTTACATGGTCAATATTGAAGCGGTAATCAAGACTAGACCGGTTCTTCTTCCGCGGACGGGCTTGCAGAGATCTAACATTGATCATGCCTTCTTGCTGCTGATGCTGATGCGGCTGCCGCTGCTGAGAAGTTGTCGGCATTCGACGCGCCGTACGAGCCGGAGGTGTTTTAAATGCACTGCGTAACTGGTAGTGCGGGGACCGCCGCACGTGCGACGGAGTTTCAAAAGCAGGATTAGACGTTGCTATCAAACTTGAGTGTAAGCGTCGCCTGGATGAAGAAGCAACCGGTGAGCTTGATTCATCTTCACAGGTGATTGTTGTGCTTGGTCAGGCGCTTGGTGGTGCAAACCCAGCCTCGGAGGCTCAGCGATACGTTCGTCCATCGCGTTCGAAAGTGAGGCCTCCTTCTCCCAAAGCCTTTGCGCTAAAGGCCAAAATCGAGACGTCCTTGAAGCTATGAAACCCGTCGCAAGCATGGTCAAGGTCCGCGCCGCTCGGACCTCGTTGCGGTCTCAACTTCAAAGATGCGTGCTACAGTTTTATACTTAAAATTTGTAATGGCGGTGGTTAACGTAGGCAAACGAATGTTGAAGAAGGTGCCGGAGGTATTGGGATGCTGTTAACAAAGAGGTTTGCTAACGGAGGTTAATCAACTGAAACGACAGCACTATCTGAGCCACACGGTACTATCAGCTCATTGTCCTACACTCCTGGACACAATTATACGGCCACCTCGTCAAGTGCCCATAACTCAGTCAATTTTTATTATTTGACGGTGCGGTTTTCACACAAGTTGCAAAACATGCTTCAAAATAGCTAGGATGTGCTACCGCTCGCGGTTTTGCACGTTACAGGGAGGCTCACATACAAAAAAGAGATTTGTCAGGCAGAACACAATTTACGGCCACCATCGGCCCAATACAAAAACTTATATAAGAAAAAACATGTGTCATTTTGGCTGACTAGAAATTTGTATGTGCTGAGTTTCTGTGGGCGATTAAATGGACACTAGGGATCTAGAGCTCAAAGTAGTTGCATCGGGGTGTACATAATAGTATTATATGTAACGTGTTGCACTCGCACCTCTGCTTGATCGATATTGATGGAGAATTTTGAAATGTAAGATCGTGACGACTACACGGTGTTCTCCATATGATCTGCTATAGTAAAAAAATGCGGATGGGTCTGTTGACACTAGCTATTTTCAAGCATGTTTTGCAACTTGTATGAAAACCGCATCGTCAAATAATAAAAAATGACTGAGTTATGGGCACTCGACGAGGTGGCCGTAAAATTGTGTCCAGGAGTGTAGTAGGCCTGAACAGTGCTACACTAGAATGTTGTCTTCACGAAAGTGGTATTTTTTTTGCCAATTGCGATTTCTTATCAATACCGGTACACACATGGACCTGTACCTGATTATTTTTTTGTTAAATAATCAGCATTTTGTAACATTTGAGGTAAAAGTAATACAGTACTGTACCGGTATGGATTCAGTAGAGTAATACCGTTTTATTTAAAAGGACCGGTAAGCCATTTTATCATCCTCCACCGGTATCGCAATTAACCTGCTTGGATTCAAGATATCTTTCTTTTCATTTCAGAAGGACACAGGCATGCTCCGATTTCTCTACGTCGCCGCCCGCGCCGCCCCCCGTGCACTACAAGTCACCCACGTGAGCTCCATGGGGAAGGGCATCACTGGGGCCCCAGTTTGCGTTCTAGCCATACTGGACCAGCATAAGGCCTTTCTCCGCAGCGTGGACGACGTTGTGTACACCTTTCACAGCCCTCTCGTCGAGGGATCTTTGGGCCAACACACGCGGCACTCGCTGGACCATTTACGGAAGCCACTCGAGCTCCTGGCCGCCCAACAGCAGGGGAGCGATTCTAATATGGTGCGTTATGATATCCGTGACCGCCACACACCCGTGGAGAAGGACCGCCATGCGGCTATCAAGCAGATTGAGCAACTGGAGAAGACGCTTCGCACCCTACCACAGAAGGACTTGGCGCGGCCAGTTCATGCTGCCTTCATGCTGTCCGCGGACGGCCGCGAGCTCGACTTCCAGTCCACATTCGGTCGAGAACTGGCCTTTGCAGTGCACCACTGTATCCACCACAACGCTCTATCCAAGGTGCTGCTACGCCATCACTTCCCGGAGTTAAGTGTTCCGGACAGATTCGGCATGGCACCGTCCACGGCAAACTTTAACTTAATACATTCTCACGAATAACACTAAGCGCAACTATGAGAGTTTACCGATGACACGTACATTATTATAGTTTCTAGCTGTGATAAATTGTAGGGCGGAGGCATTTGACGGAAATTCGGGTGAGAAAAAGCTCCATGGTGGTGATCAACGATTTTCGCAGAAGTTCTCCGACACCTATGTCCGACCACGTGAAAAGCTGTCGTGTGATACAATCAAATGTGACATATTGTTTTGTCCAATCTGATGTGGTAATTTTGAAACGAGACCATTTGTGGCGCGTCGATTGGCTGGCTGGTGGTTTTCGGCACTCTGAAATTCAGAGTCTGCTCAAAACCGCTTAAAAGCCTCCAGATTTAGATTAGCTTTGGAGCCAACAAGTAACACAAGCAGTTCAAGATGGTCAGCGCCAAGGAAACCGTGGAAGCCAAGATCTCGTCTACCCCCGTGGTGGTCTACAGCAAGAGCTACTGCCCGTACTGCACCAAGACCAAGACGCTACTGACGCAGCTCGGTGCCAAGTACGATGTCGTGGAGCTGGACCAGGTCGCAGGAGGCAGCGAGCAGCAGGACGCCCTGGAACAGATTACGGGCCAGAGCACCGTCCCCAACGTATTTGTGGGTGGCAAGTCTATCGGTGGCAACTCGGACGTGCAGAAGCTGCACAAGGCCGGCAACCTTGAGCCCCTGCTCGAGCAGAACAGTGCCCTGTAAACGTCCAAGATTTAATAGCCTCGGGAAGATCCCAACGCCTCTGCACTTCTTCGGCGTAGGGATTGAGAAGTAATAAACAAAACGAATAACCTCTTAAATTCACGGCGCTATTTCTTTGCTGCAACCGAAGTGTTCTTCTCCTTTCGCCTTCGCTTCCTACATGTAGTAGGCAAGAAACCTACAGACACTGTGAGTCACTATGTCGGCGTCTGTGACATACCTCACCTTTCAAAACCGATTGATCAAACGGCTAGGAATTTCTCAGCTCATCGAGCATGTTTCGCAGCGCGAAGCCCAAGAAGAACAAGCGCCGACGCGTGGCCGAGGACGAAGACGAGCACAATGAGGGCGAACGCGATGTCAGCGGGGACGTGCCGGTGGTGGCTGTGTCAACAGACCGCCGCGCGATCAACACCTTCTCGGTAGGACGCCCACCACAAGTCTGATCCACTGCGTCCACTAACTTTTGCAAAACTGCAATTATAGACTGGAGGCGTGAAGAAGGCCAAGAATGTGGTGCAGACACGACTGATTGAGTCCGAACGCGAGGTTGTGCCGCAGCAGTACGCGGGAGATGCCACCTACGAGACTCAGATCGATACGGAGAAGGATCGGTGCGTTATGCGTTGAGAGTCTCAACCATGTCTATGGCATTTTGAATAATGTTAAGTGCTGTATCTGTCGTAGTGATGCGCGTGCCATAATGGAGAGAAGTATTAAGGCGAATCAGGATGGCAGTGCTGATGCCGATAGTGGAAAAGTGTATCGTGGCCAAGCTGCCTACAAGAGTTACATCACCAAGAAGGAATCCCAGGTCGGCATGAACAAATACACAGGGTACGTGTCTTCTGGAAGCAGTAAAGCTACCGACATCATGAGTATAACCTGTGAGTTTTTCTTTCTGCAGCACGCAAGGCCCCATCCGAGCGCAGACCTGGGCACGCGCCATCTCGCGGTTCGACTACCAGCCTGACGTGTGCAAGGATTACAAGGAAACGGGATTCTGCGGCTACGGTGACAGCTGCAAATTCCTCCACGACCGTGGCGACTACAAGAGTGGATGGCAGATCGAGAAAGAGTACGCAGAGAAGGAAAAGAAGCGTCAAAAGCGGCTGCAAGAGGGGCGTGGTGCGTGCATATAGACATTGTTTGCATGTGTGATGTTCTTGTCACAGATCGATGACTATTTGCTACTTGGATTAGACCCCGATGAAGAAAGTGAAGACGAAGATAAAGCTGCGATGAAGAAGAAAGAGGATGAGCAGTTTGCATGCACAATCTGCCGTGGACCTTTCCGGAATGCTATTGAGACAATGTACGTGGAGGGCCATCGAGATGCACGCGCCTTTTAATTTCCGCTCTAACGCTTGTCCGGTTTGTGGTTACAGTTGCGGTCACTTCTTTTGCGAATCGTGCGCGCTGAAGAACTTCAAGAAAACGTCACGATGCTTTAACTGCAAGAAACAAACCAATGGTGCGTGCGGTGTAGCTGACGATATTTGTAAGAGCAGTCCACTGACTGATAGTGGACTGCCACATAGGCGTCTTCAATGCTGCTGAAAAACTACGAGCAAAAGAGCGGGAACAGCGTGTTCAGAACGTAACCGAAAGTAAAAAGCTTGCAGACACTTCTGTTGAAAAAGAAGAAAATGGCGGAGGTGGGTGGACACAAGTCGTGGAGTCGTCGTAGAAGCTGTGCTACGCTCCGTATTGGAGTTGAAATAAAGTTCTATGACAACTTTTAACAAAGTACCCACCTCAATAAATATTTATCACTACCAGCCTCTTTCTCCTAACATCTAAACTAGCTTAATAGCCGCCTTCTGCCTCCAAGATCGTCTTGGCGTACGGGTGGAACACAATCCATCCGACGAGGAATGGGTTCATTAGCTCCATGATGCCGTTGTTCCAGTTGGTGAACGTCGTGCGGTTCCACGGAGGCGCCATGGCTGTCTCGTGGATCCGACTCATGTATGAGCGCGCCAATTGCGACAGCGCCGCCGCTTCATGCAGAGCCTCCACGTTTCACGTACTGACATCGGTATCGAGCAGGCGCAGCATGCATCCAAGGCATGCCTGCAGCACCGAAATATTACCGACACAGATAAAGTCTGCCGCCCCATACGTTCGTGGGGAGCTGTGTCTTCAACGCGGGAAACAACAAGACAGCCACTCTGTCGTCACTAAGTCGAACAGATAGTGACCCACTTCTGCGCAGGCAATTGTAACGAAGAAAGATGCCAATTCGCCCGGAAGATTGTTTGCTAGCGGGTGCTCGACAAAGTCCACTACTTCCATCATAATGACTGTCACGTGAAGCAGAGCGACGGTATCCAATGCCACCATGAGGAAGCACTCCAGGAGTTTCTTGGACGCAACGATACGCGCGATGACGATGATGACCCATCCCGCTAGAGCCACGAACAAGTAGTCTAAAATGGCCATTTGTGTCTCAGATCCCGTGTAGTGTGCGATCATAGTGTTCATAGCTGTCACGGTGAGTGCACCCTGGTGAACCAGAATGGCGACGCCGTCGCTTGGCGTCGGAGCGAAGCAAGCGGACAGCACGCCAGTGAAGCAGCCGACTGCAGCACACACTAGTACGGTGTCTTCTGTAAGCAATGCGATAATGGTGCCAATTGCAGCGACGACAGACGCCGCTACCAGTGCCACTATTACTGTCGCGCCTCGTACATCCTTCATGTTTCTGTCTGTGAATTTGGTTACCGCGTACGTCTGGGGTTCCATTCTCTCTCGTAGTTCGCGGTCGTACTCGCTTGAGCTCTGTCGCGGTCTTTCGGGGTCCGTGCCGCCGAATAGCGCCGCCACGGACGCCTCCAGTGGAGCCAAGAACCGCTGTCGAATGCGGTAATGCCACCAGCTCTTCTCGAGCAAGGCGATGGCCAGACAGCCTTGCAGCAAGTAGACGGAGTTGCGGGAGTGACCCTCATGGATAGAGTAGAAGATAAAAGCGACCAGCAGCGCGGCCGCCGCGAGGGTGGCACAGAAAACGAAGAGCCTGTTGCTGGACGAGGACGTCTTGCTCGGAATTGACGGCTCTTGCGGGCGTCGGGAGTGCGAGCTGTAGCTGGTGTCCGAAGGCTCCATGCACCGCCGCTCGGACTGGGCGGCGAGCTTCCAACTGAGCTGGCCGCCCTCACGTTTCGAGGAGAGGGATACAGCGAATACGAACACGGCCGAAGCTCCCTCGTCGAGGGGGCAAGTCAAGCAATGGGGGAGGGACATGGCATTTTAATCTCCTAGCCTGGCTCTGTTCACCTCGATTAAAATTGAATAGGGTTAGGTCATTCAAGCTTTTTCTTAAAATCGAAAGGCCGTGTCATTCGGTTCCCGATGAAAAAAAAATTCAGCCACGCATGTGCACCACGACCACAGCGATGGAGACTATTATTAGCTGCATCGCAGCTCGATCTGCAAGAATTTTTTTTTGCGTACCTTGTCTTACCATATTGCCATTCTGATTCTTTGAGATTCGCTCTGGCTTGTCAGAATCATTAGTGGTGTTTACAGTCGAACTGAAGATTGTGCCAGAAGCTTCAGGCTTAAAAAAAGCTAAATCCCAAAGGCTGACTTCAGAGAGAATGGGTACTTTCGTATCTACAGCTTACTCCATATAGCTCGACTTTTGATGCAGCCTTACCACAGCGAACCAGTATTTGTGCGCGCTGACAATTTGGATTAATCGGTGGATAATAACTCGAAGTGTACGAATACTACTTCCAAATTTCATTTTTTGAAAAAATGAAGGCCGCTTTACAAACAAATTAAACGATAAATGAAGAGCAGGAAACTGGGTCTCAAATCAATTTGGAGTACAACTCCGTGATGCCAGGCTTCGCATAGGGATAGGGTTTTGTGGTACAGATCTATGAGAGCGATGACAACTACATGTACCCCACTGCAGCACCGCTTCAACACGTCGTGCGGCACGACTCGACTCGTGCAAAAGGAGCAGCAATAAATTACAGTTTTGCCAGTAATGATGGCTGGCTATCGCAGTACGAATTTTTCTCGAAGAAAAAACACTGCTGGTGGTACCTGTAGCGTCAGCTTTTACATGTACCAGTACATGCACTCGCACAGTCGGAAGACTGAGCGTATTGCAGGTCAAACTTGATCATTGACAGCAGTATACATGTATAATACATGTATTAATAATGCTTAAACAAGCTGGCTTTGAGCGAAAATAAAAGAAAAAGACTTCCGGCTTGATCGTCCGGTAAACAGTTTTTCGTCAACGCAAAATGGAACGAGTCAGTAGCCCGTTTCGTCCAATCATGATTTCCACCAATTGGATCGTCAGTTCAGGCTATTCCTTTTAGATAAAACCTTTAGGCACAACCCTATGTACAAAAAACAAAACAGAGATCCCTTCCCAGTCGCTCATTCTTTCGCCCTAGCAATAATGGAGCTGCAGGAGCGGCTGCCGCCATGCCACGCTGCGAGCTCGTCGCACACACTCGCGACGCTCTTCTCCGTGATAACATACGTGGTGCTTCCTGCGGGCGTCGTGACGCTCGTGGAGGTGGGGGACGCCTACCTACTGCTCTTCATTGGACAGCTACTTCTGGCTGTCGGTGCCGTCGAGTGGAGTTGGTTGGCCTTCCGCATCCGCCAGCGGCTTCTTCTAGCCGTGAATCTACACGAGGATGCACCAGTAACGACAGAAGCGATTGATAACACGGGAGAACAGACACATCAAATACTACTTATACAGGCACAACAGACAGAGGACGAGGAGGCCAGGCGATTGCGCGCTCTGGAGGACCAGCCGCTTAGGAGACAGGATCCCAGGGAGAACTACGCGCGTTTATTAAACGAGGCCATGCGCGCGAAGAGCTTTGCCATCGCACCACTGGCGGACAGGATATGCAGCGGGCGTTGGTACCTCGCCGCGTTTTTATTGGCGACAATTGGTGCCGCCGTGAGCGTCGCGCTGGGGTACGCCGTGGAAAGCACAGTATTTGACAGCAAGAACCCCGCTTCGGGCTGGAGAATGATGGTCGGTGCGTCTGTGGAAGCCGCGTTTGTGTCTATTTTCTGCAGCTCATTAGCGCCTTCAGGGGCGGACGCCGTCGTGCTCCTAGTGTACCAGGCGTGCGTTCTTGTGGCCAGTATGAACGCGTACTTGAAGTTGCAGGTAGATGTCATCGCCTCTGACGCACAGGTGGACCCTCTGTTCATTATTTTAGCTGGCGCTATCGTCATCATCGTGTTCCGTGTCGTGACGAGCAAAGTCGTGATGCAGAGTCTGCTGCTCGTGCTGTGTGACGTGCTCGGTCTTGTGTGTATTGTGTCGCCGCTCATCGCGTTCGCGGACCTGATAGACCAGACAATGAACCAATCGTTCAGGAATCAACTCGCGCTTTTCGTGCTCGTGGTGCTAGCTGCAGACGTGGGGGATTGTCTCGCCAAGGAGTTGCAGCTGCACCGGCCACAGGTTTTCAAATGGTGTCGTCATCCGGTGCTCAAGTCTGAAGCTACCACGAAAGATGTGGAAGCACCGATTATTTCGTTGATGTGTGGTGCTATCATCATTGTGGCTGTCCGTTTGGGCTCTGGTGGCTCGGATTTCAACACTGTGGAAGTCATTGTGTTGTTCTGTGCCATCGCATTGGGACAGTGGTGTCGTCTGTGGATGGCACATGTTCGACGAATGGCAAAAGTATCGACCTCTGCGTTCTATTTTCCCGAGGGAAGCCGAACGTGCGGCGTGCTTGATCGCATGGCAGTGTTTCTTGTGGCTATCATTGTTTACTACCCGTACATCAAGCAAAAGTACTTCTCATAACGGGCGGTTAGAGTACCGGTACAAGAATTGGCGGGAGGAAAGCATGACGCATGAGATTTCCGTGAAAAGTGGGCCAGTCCGATTCCGGCTGTACCTGAATTTCTTGCCATACACCACTGTTAGCGTCATTTATTTATTTATTGGGGCAAGGCGAGCAAGAAATGGTGCCAACCCCGCGTTCAAGACGGCACATTCATTACACGTATCCAGACAACCCGTTTGCCACGCGACAGAGAAACAGAGAGAGACACTGAAAATTGGATGTTACGTGTTGTACGCAGCTTGTGGTCTGATGGCATGAATAATATTATTGACATCTGGCGGCTTCCGTGCGCGTAGGTTTTGTTGGGGAAATCGAAGCGTTGTGATAAAGTATACAATTTCGCGGTTGGTAATTATTCTAGTACTATGCTCGAGACTTATTAGTAGTACTTTACAAGTGCTACAAGTACAAGCACTACTACTACGAGCTGTACTACGACTGTTTAGATAGTACCAGGAGTACTGTCGAGAAACTCGTCTCGGAAAAAGATAACTATTTGTTTTTTTTCTGCGCAGCGCTCCGCCTCGTTCATTTGAGCGTTTATTAATTTGTGAGAGGCTGGCTAGCTAGGAGAGCTGACAGTGAGAAACTAAGCAAGGCACAGGCGTTCATGCTCCGCCGTGCAACTACAGATACAAAAACGGATCTAAGACGGCAACTACATCGCCACATTCTGAAGGGGCGCTCAGTGGGGCATCTGGAACTTCAGCGGTAGGCGGTGGGGGGCTGCTCGCTGCAAGAAACAGCATGTACGCGTTAGCATTGGCGAGTGAGATAGCGTCACAAGGCAGTGACGTAGGGAGAGTGCCAGCTCGTACTTGCTTGTCCTTGTGCCGGAGGCGCGCCAACTTGTGCGTGGGTCTGTCTGAGCGCACGCCGTATCTAGCCTTCCTTAATCAGCTGCTGAACCAAATAGCAGCTCATGCTGGACGCGCGCTGAAGCAGATGCTGGTTTTCGCGCTCATTGACAGGAACTGCAGCGATTCTCTCGCACAGCTCAGCTCGATCCACCTTCTTCCTACCACATGCGCTCTTCCTTGACTTGACCACGGCTGCTACTCGATCTCCCATCGAATTGATTCCACGCCTCCAAATTCGTTCGACAACTTGGCGGCCCACACGGAAGTACGCTGCAACCCGAACGATCTCTCCATGTTTGACCACTTCTCCCACGCTGCGAAGCAGTAAGGTCTCCCAGACGGCCTGGCGCTCACTGTCTGTGATCTCCCCCAGGTGCCAGCTTACAAAGTAGCGGGAGCCTGGTCGGGAAAGCGCGGGAGATTCGAAATCCAAAAAAGATCGGCATAGAGAGGGTATTTTGTTGGGTAGGCTGTAATATAATTTGAAATGGTTATCTTCTTCAGAACGGAGGTAGTATGTACTTTACAACTACGTTTAGAATTTCGTTGAGAAAAAAAATTACGATTTGAGAATTTCGCTGCTATAGTAGAGCATTCTTGACTAGCGAACAAATCCGAGTGCTGGATTTCACTAGACCCGCATAAACACCCTCACGCTCGCTCTCCAGTGCCATCTTAGCAGCATATTCAGCGGCCATTTTGCTGGAAAGTTCGCCCATCTCTGCGTACCTGGAGCGGCTGCTTGCACCGGATTCACCGAGCGAGTCCATTCGCTTCTCCAACTCTGCGATGACTTCGTCCTTTGCGGACACGTCGTTTGAGATTTGGGACCATTTTGCGTGAAAAGCTTGCTCGTCAAGGGGTGAATTATGTGCTGGACTGTTTTCAAGTAGTGCCTTAACCTCATCGCGACGGGGTCTCCACTCGCGAGCAATGAGAGCTGCCACAGTGATTTCACGTTTCGTCTTCTCCGTGCTGATGGATATCCGCAGTTCGTCGACTTGTCTGCTGAAATCCGGATTGGATGATACGAGAAATTGAGCGTGGCCATTGGATTCTTCTTCAACGACCTTCTCGTTCATCAAGATTTGGTCGTTTATGTGGGTATAGACATCCATCAACCTTCCATTTTCAGAGCCAAGTATTTGCCAGTCAGATGCAATTGGACTCTGCTGCTGGCCATCAGCACGTGATGGATCTTCGCGACGCTGGTCTGTTCTTGTGCCAACGCTTCCCTCTGGTCGTCGTGAAGTGATCGTAATGTTGGAGGAGCTCGCCAGCGAGCTAGAAATCGCAGGTTGTGCCTCAGAGCGACTAGCAGCAGCGTCACTATTGTTTTCTAGAGAGCGCGAATGACCTTCAGACGACGCCACCTGCGCGTTTGACGAATTGGTCAATACGTTATCAGTAGATGTGGCACTCTCATTGCCGGTGGTTTTTTTCTGGCGTAACATCACCACCTCATCTTCGAGTTGTTGCATCCGGTTCGTGAGCTTCCTTGCCCATCTACGAACACACGGTGGGCAACTGCATCCACCTGCAAGAAGATCACCACCGTGACTCTTGTTCGAGCGATGCACGAAGCTCCCTTCGGCAGTCACTGTGTTCGTTGGGGCTTCTGGGCTCGAGGGCGCAGGCACCTTGGCTTCGGTCGTCATCCTCGATACATCGGAGGGAGAGTCCACTGGCTCTTCTTCTCGAGGTTGTTCTTCATGCACGCGTTGTTTCTTCGCCTCAGATTGAGGCTCAATGTTTGACGTCTCCACATCGTCACCCTCTTGCGATAAGGCATCTGATGCCTGTCGTTTAAGGTCTGGCTTCGGTGCAGCATCCCTCGCTCCTTTTTGATAGTTTCTAGATAGGTTAAACGGCGATGGAGGGTCTCCAAGCTCATCCAGTCGACCACGTTTCTTTAGATAGGCTTTGCGAGCCTGGAACCTGGCCCTTGCCTTCCGTTCAGCTTCCTTTTGCACGTCTTCGGTGTTCATCATGAGTGGGATAGTGGGGGATGATGTTGCTGGTGGCGTCGTAGGAGCTGACAAGTCCTGGTCACACGGTTTCACTCGGTTCATGTGAATGCGAAGACTCTGCGGACTCGAGAACGTTTTGCCACATTTGACGCATGTTTTCGACGCCGCCGGTCGTCGACGTGTCGTAGGTGCAGGAGCCGACTTTTCCTGGTCGCAAGGCTTGATGCGGTTAAGGTGGCCCCGCAGTCCTTGCCAGCTTGCAAAGGTTTTGCCACACTTATAGCAGGCCTTGGACTCGAACCGAGCCTCTTTTGGCACCATCGCCGGTCTTGGTTCATCGCAAGGATACACATTGGTCAGGTGGGTGCGGAGACTCGCGCTGGATGAGAAACCTTTGCCACACTTCGAACACGACTCCTCGCTGGTGTTCCCCACATGGTCGAGGGTATGCTCCTGGCTAGCCCCATCCGGCTGGGTGGGAGGGGGCTCGGTCACGATTTCTTCGTTCCGAATGGTGGCGGTCTCTTTGTTGCCATTTTGGTTTTCTTGGTGTTGATTGTGCGGTTTGGGAGGGCCCACGGGCGCAGGCTGTTCACTCAGCCGCTCATGGCGCTGCAACATCCCTAGTACACGTCGAACGGGGAGCAGCACGTTCAGGGGCCCCTGCGCAGCCACGGGGCCCGGAGGATTCGAACCCGCCCCCTCAGTTGCCATCGATACTCGATGCACTTTCGGGAGACTCGGCTAATTTGCGTATCAGCGAACAAACTGAAACGATTTTTTGCGAAGTGAAAAAAATGATTGGAATGATGACAGCAAATTAGTTTTTATTCGCTACGAACACCAAGTGAATGAAAAAGGAATACGCTTCAATCAATACCAACTCTATCGATCGAATGGTTTCGACGAAATCAAGAATTAGAGAGCATACTTTTTTTCACTCTTTTCTACGACGAGAATACAAACTGTAGAAAAAAGTCGAAGTGCAGCTGGTACCGGTACTGGTACCATTGTTACATCCAGAAGAGTTCGAGACCCCCCTCCCAGTGTGGACCTATGACCTATCGCGAGCTGTTGGCCACACGCGTGTTGTCTGTGAATGCATATTGGCAAGAGCTGCGCGGGCCTAGTCGACACTCGCCGAGGGAGATTCCTGTGCCACTTTGGCCGGGCGAGAATTTGGAGCAATATGAACGCGAATTCGTACACTGGTTGACAGCGAGGCGACTGTCGCTTGTATCTATGCGCGATGACCCCGCGACTGAACGGAACTGCCGACTTCAGTTCGCACAGACGCGAGTAGCGAGACCCAACAGCAACGTGCAACGGAGGCCATCGTCCCCTCCTCGTTATCATTCGCGTTCCGGGTCGCCATCGTCTCCACCGCGAGGCGCTCCTTACTATTCACGTTCCAGGTCGCCCTCGCGATCTCCTCCTCGCAACAGACGCTTTATTGGGTCACATCAACTGCCGCTTCAAAGAGAAGACAGGAGTGTGTCTCCGAGATACGTTTACGAACGGAACCCTTCACCAGAAAGAGGACGTATTATTACAGCCAGACCGGCAGCAGTGCCGGACCGAAACTATCAAATGGCGCGGGGATACTCTGCTGCGCCTGAGAGTTCTTGGGTATACGGTAACTGGCCACCACAGCGTAGTGTGGAGCTGCGACCTCGGCAGGACCCGCGACCGTCGCCGGGTGCTGCTCACCGCCAGTACAGTGGCGATGCTCAGCGTTGGACGCGGTCGCGGTCAAGATCACCCGAGAACTACGAGTGGTACATGAAGAACCGACCTTTGTCCCCACAGCGCAGCGACAGGCCCGTCCCGCGTAGATCGCCGTCTCCTCACGATCAATCCAGGTCGCATATCGACAATCTTCGCAAGCACTTGCTCGCCAGACGAGTAGTCTCGGTGAAAGCATTTCGGGCCGAGATGTGCAAACTTCGCAATGGCCTCATACGCGAGGACTCTCTCAAGCGGCCTCATGAGACAATGGTACGGATCCCAGTCCTCCTCTGGCCTGGTGAAACCATGGCGCAGTATACGCAGAAGTTTGAGCGCTGGCTCGACTCACGAAAGATGTCGCTGTCCTCACTACGTGATAATCCAGCCAAAGAGCGCTCGTTGTGGCATACGTTCGCGTATGCAAGAGCAGGAGCGTCCGATCTGACGGAACCTGCGCAGTCGAACGCTCCAGTGCGATCGCCAACAAGTCAGAGGACACACTCTCGCTCTAGAAGTAGATCTAGATCGTCGTCGCGAAGCACTCGAGAAAACTTAGAGAGAGGTCGCCCAATCACACCTACTGGTGGGTACAGTCGCAACAAACCGATGCAGAGAGGAAGTGTGCCTACTGCGGTCAGCCTACCTCAACGAGACCGCTCTTTGTCTCCCGACCGACGAGATAGATCGAGATCTCCGCCGGCCTCGCTCGCCCCACCTGAAAACCCTCATCTGTTGATTAACAAGACGCGCTCTCAGTTGCTGGAGAGACGATTGCTAGAGCTGGCTGCTTTCCAGAAGGAGATCGAGCAGAATGGTGCCAATGCCACTGATGGCAACACGCTAGTTGCCATTCCTGTGCCGCTGCTTCCTGGTGAGTCCATGGGGCTTTACGATCATCGGTTTTGGACGTGGGCGAAGAGCTACAGCGAGTCGAAAGAGGTAATGAAGGACAATCCTGCCAGGGAACGGAGACTTCGAATAGCGTTTGCTTACCTGCGAGCTAACAGACCGCAGTCATCAACTGTCGCTGGAGCCCAAGACGCCCGGACGAGTGCTGAGTCTCAGAACACGACACCTCGCGGTGCTTTAAAGCGACCAAGTTCAGCTATTAATTCTCAGAGACCAGCGGACAGTAGTGGGCGGAAGACGCCGGTCACAAGCGTAGAACCGAGCACTAAGCGAACACGGACACAAGTGGAACAAAGGCCCCGTATCAGCATGACACCAGGCGGTCCGTCGAATTGCTTGTCTGCTGAACCGCAAGTGAAACAAGAACCAACTTTGGTGGAGTCGAATCGACCCTCGTCTGGGTCAAACCTGGGACAAACAACGACTACGGCTGCGACTGCATCAACTGCGCGTTTGGTGCCAACAACCGACACTCCTGCAGTACGTGTTTCCGTGGCTACAAGACCGACTTCGGCGCCTACGTCCAATGCACCAGTACGAGCATCCACAGTGAGAGCGGGTCCGGTTCCTACAGCTATTGCGTCGTCTAAGGGGGTTCATACAGCAGCAAGAGCGAGTTCGACAGCTACACCCAATGCGCAAGTTCCCACAACAGCAAGAACAAGTCCAATTACCAAAGCCAATCCACCTTTGAAGGCTGTTCCTGTGGCGGCTAGGACGAGTTCGGTGCCAACAACTACCGGACCTTCGACAAGAACGGCAACTACGTCTTCGCCAGGCAAATCCGTCCGCTTCTCAACATCCACAACGTTGATTCCAGAGACTATGCCAGCTCGGCCATTGCCGTCACCCTCAGCGACGGCCCCATCAATAAAACGCGAAAAGGCATTAGTGCCATCCCCAGCTGCAATTTTTGCTCCAAAGACAACAACAAAACATCCATCGACGTCTCGCACTCAAGGAATGGCAGAAAGGAATAAAAACGCTACCAGGCCAAGACTATCAGATAGTTCGACTAGTCAAGAAGCGTCACGTCCGTCTTCAGTGCCAGGACCAGCAACGTCGTCTTCAGCAGCCTCGGCAGTATCTACGGGCTCGCAACGGATGCGTGCATCAACATCAGCGACGTCTGCTTCACTACCGAACCCCGTTGTGAAGCCAGCAACGTTCTCGTTACCGTCGTCGGCTGTACCAATGGCGCACAGACTGGGTACCAGGAAAACGGTGGAGTCGAGTAGTTCAGGGCCGCGGGCCAGTCAAGAAGCATCACGCCCACAGCTGCCGTCAGTCACGTTTCCTTCAGTTCTCAGTCCAGTTGAAAAGTCCCCAAGGTTTTCGTTTATTTCCGCTGTTCCAGCAGTATCGATGGCATCCCAAGCGTCAACACCGACAACTTCTCAACGGCAAACTTCATCGAGCGCAGACACCTCATCGGCAATAGTGACAACAAGTTCAGTGGTTGCGTCGCCACCAAGTGCAGATGCAAGCAATAGTCCTGCAGCTGCAACTTCCAGAGTGAATGTCATTGAACATCACTCGGCTGACACTGAACCTGATACGGGCCCAGCAGAGTTGTCGGAAGCCGAGTCGAACGCTACAGACGACTCTGAAGAGCACGACGGCGACGTCATGAACGAGGACGGATGCTGCTGCAACAAGTGCATGCGCAATTGGGCCAAAACACTGACGGATCGCATGGATCAACTTGAACGGAACGTCGGGGATCTTAAACGCGAAGTCAACAGCGCCCAGACAATGACTGCTTCAGGATCATAGGCAACAAGATAAGCAAAGCGTAAGAAAAAAAGTGTGTTTGTTGCAAATTTTGTCAAAATCGCACTTAGTCGAGACCTCAAAGCAATTTTTGTAACTAAAGCTCGCAAGATACGCGATGGCCGATCATCGACGTCGCTACGCTCGGCAAACCTCTCGAGGTCTACTTGGAGATCGCGCTCACCGCAACATTGGGATTCTTCGTCTCCCGCACGCTATCATCGATCTCCATCCCCAGTTGTTGCTGGGCGATACGCCGCCAGATCTCAGTCGCCTCGGCGTTGGCGTTCGTCGTCCTGTTACCGAAACCGATCCCGATCGCCTCCTCCCGGAGGAGAATTATCACCACGTCGCGAAAGATCTCGATCGCCGCCTTCGCACTACACAGTCGAAGCCCCAGAAACCCGTCGTCGTCGACTGTTGGCCGAAAAAGTCATGTCCTTGGAGACGTATCATCGACTGTTGCTGAACCCCAAGTCACCGTGGACCAAGGCTTCAGGTACCCGGAACATGCCCATCCCTGTTCCTTTAGCTTCCAATGAAAATTCTGGGGATTACCAGCAGAAATTTGAGTTCTGGTTGGCCCAGAGGAATGTAACTTTATCGTCGCTTCGAGAGGATGTCATGCGAGAGCGAAATTATCGCTGCGGATACGCTCGATGGCGTGTGCAAATGAAATACGGGCAGTCACATCCTAGATCAGCTTCAACTCAGCAACGCTCACGCTCCAAATCGCCCGAACGGCAATGTAAGAGAAATGAGCAGGAGAGGTACCAGCATTCAACTTCACGTCCTCGCAGTCCTGAACGGAACTCGTCATACCAAGGTGAACCCAAGAGCTACAACAGCTCAGCCTCAACTAAGAGCTACAATAGCTCAGCTTCAGCTACCTTTAAGGCGGGCTCTTCGAGATTTTATGATGCACGTCATCAAGTCTCGAAAATTTACAAAGGATACAGAGACCAAAGGCTTAGCAGTGAGGACAGCTGCAAAAATTGTGACCGCAAGTGGGATGATTTGAACAGGCGTATACAGAAACTCGAGAGTATCCTATCTCGCCTACCACGCCAGAACACATTTAGTGGCAGAAATTGCTCGCGTTATGGCGGTTTCTCGTCGTCCTCTGGTGACTTATCCCCGACATTTATTGACCTTACGGAAGACGTCGACATCGAGACCGAAGCGAAGCCTATTCGGTCTGAAGAGAAAGAGAACAAGGAACTAACTAAGAATTTCACGGAAACCCAATCGAGAAGCGTGAAATTACGCCCACTGATAGCGACTTGAGCCAAGAGGGCCCAGACACCACGGGGGATTTGGATGAACCGAACGCCGATCCTGGTGATGACTTTGAATTGAAGTCACCGACTGAACTGACGCTCTTGATCAATGCATTCAATGAACTCAACGACGATGTGTTGAGTAAACAAAAAGAGGAGGAAATTATGGTCAAAGATATGGAGTTGGTAAGTGAAGAAGACAAAACCAACTCGGATAAACTGCGAAGCCAAATTTATGAGCTTCGGGATGCCATTAAAAGGCAAAAAGATAAGCGGGATGCCGCTATTGTTACGATAATCGTACGCACTCGTACAAAGACACTGGCGAAGCTAAAGGAGGACCTGCAAAAGATAGCAACGTCGGGTGAGTCCGACGAACTAGAGGATTTGCATGAAAAATGTGCAGGTGTTGCTGCGAAACTCGCAGAAAAAGATAAGGGGCTGGCACGATTGCAGAAGCAACTGCGGTCCCTTAGCTCATTGCCCTTAAATGCAAAGGAGAGCGACAGTGCTGTGGGCGAGAGAGAGGCTCGTGAACTATCGAGCAAAATTCGATTAGAGCAGGCCTCGACAGCATCCCTCAAGACGGAGCGTCGGAAGATAATCATTAGGATAATGAAGTCAAGTCGTCAGATTCAAGCTCTCGTGACAAAAGAAATCGCTAGAAAGTAGCACTCACAGCCACGGGACACTTGCCTTTAACAGTTTTTGAGCAGATTGATGAATTATTTGGCCGAGTTATTTTATTGGCGAGCCGGAGCTTTTATTACTTAAGCATGCAACCAGGTTATGATCTTCTATCGCTCTCAAGCTGGTGTCACGCCCTAGCACCTTCCAGAGGTTACTACAACGTTGTGGAATTTGTTACAGTCTCTACATGTAGTAGCTTCGTCGGCGAGCGACAATATACAACTGACACGTGCAAGAAGTGCAGTAGAACAAAAAGCAAATGACTAACAGAAGTCAGCTTCGAACATGCTCTGACACCCAAGCCATGGAGGTTCTTCTACTCACCACCGACACGACCTCCCAATTTGTAAGCGACACAGCGAATGCAACCGAGGAGTTGCCTCTATTTTGAGTGGCGGATGACGAGAGGGACCGAACCTGCACCAGATGCGGCAAAGTCCTTGCCACCTCGTTTGCGCTTCATCAACATAACAACAAAGCGCTCCTGTGCTATCAGAAAGGAGAGCGCAATGCCATCAAAACAACGAGCAGAATCCATGGCTGTAGGAGGTGCGCGAAATCGTTCTCAAGTGCTGCGGGGCTTTACAATCAGCATCGCCCTGTATCACACCCCCAGGCTGCTGATCAGCAAAAGTTGTTTCAGTTGAAGAAACGAAAACTTGTCACCAAGATTGCTAGATCTTCTCACGACCTTTTGAGCCGGCGAATTGCAGAACACAAAAACGTCCTCAATTCGAGAACCAAACAAGGACGTGTGTAGTGAACCATTCACTTCTCAAGCATCCATGAGTAGAACGTCGTCTGGCTCACGTCAAAGCAACCCCATTTCAAACAAACCCACCAATGTTTCTACATCATCAACAATATCGCCCCAAGAACGGAAGCCTCTTGCTCATGGTGGAAGCATCAACATCCAACAGATGGCTGCTGCTGTCGGCAGTGTGTTAGGAAGTGGACTCACACGATGATGAGTCGTCTAAAACATCGAGGCGACGAAGTAATTAGCTTACAGAAGCTGGTGCGACGTGATCAAAGCACCACGTTGAGTTTTGAACCAGACACGACGCAGGTCCCTTCAACATCATCGGATCTTCGCTGCACTCTGTCAATGAAAACCAGGAAAGGAAGAGCCTTTAGTGATCTTTACGCCAGCGAACGTGTGCAACACTGACGTTTTCGACGTCCCATTGGCCAAGAACGATTGGGTGATAAATGAATTGATAGAGAAGTACAATCGCCTGAACGACGAAGTCGTGACAAACGAGCGCGCTCGGTGGCTTACTTAACGGAAAACACTAAGTATTCTGAAATCAGCAGCTCAGAGCTACGCACCCAGCTTGATGAGTTGCGTGCTTGCATACACGTCGAGAAGAGGAAACGGAACAAGGCAGTTGCAGCAATTCTTGTTAAGCGATGGACCGCGAAGAAGAACGAGTTTTGTCTTTTATAAAAAATATGCCAGTAAAGAAGAGGCCAAGTGCTGAAAAGGCCTTCCGCGATGAGTGTGCTGAAAAAAAAAAATTGCGGGACAGCTGCTAGAAAAGAACAAAACAGGGCAGCCGTCGAGTGCGATGATGTCCAGTGTTCCAATCCCCAATTTAGCTGTCGAGAGCACAGCGAAACGTTTGCTGGAGCGACAGCGTGACGATGTTTTCTTGTGCTTGGCAATATCTAGCACTCGTATTTATTCCAATACGAAAGTAAAACTGGGTGAGAACACTACGCAACATGTAGAAGGATCAGGAGTTATTTAATTGACTTCTGCCCATTAACTGTCAAAGCTCTTAAGCGAACTTTAGCAGCTTCGCCGTCACAGATTGCATGTAGCTGAACGAAACAGGAACCGCCGAGGCAACATAGTTGTCCGGAATGCGTTCATCCCACACGAACGAGTGTGCAGCTTCAACAGTGACCGACTCGTTGACGTTGCCACCGCAGCCGACGATGAACACAGCAGCCTCCAGATACGAGAACGTGGTCTGGTTAGAGCCGAAGACGCACTCCGGATTGTTGGCACGACACTCCGCCAGACGGTCCCTACGGGTCTCTCCGACCTCAGTTATACCGAGCGATTTGCCGTCCAGCGAGCGACCCAGCAGATTCTCCACCATCGTCTCGTTGATATTGATCGGGTCACCACCGAAGTATTCGTCGTTGTGCACAAGGGACGCGTCGTGCTCAAGCACGTTGTGGCGCGAAATAATGTCGAGGGAGAAGGTGGCAGGCAATTGGTTCAGTAGAACCTGGGTCAAGCCACTGTCAAAGTTGAACACCGACATAAGAGCCGCGCGCAGGTCCTCGTGTGTGATGTTCTTGCCACTGCGCGGGATGTGACCATGGTTGGCGAGCGCGTTGAGACCAGGACACGGAGATCGACGGAACGGGACGGGCGAGGTCGAGTCGGCATACCCGGTGACGATGTCGCTCGAAGGTCGGTAGAATTCGCCGACCAAAAGCGAATCAATGGAGACTTGACCGTTCTTCCCTATGTCGACCGATCCAGCGGCGACAGAGGAGACGACCAACGCGGAGACAGCAACGACAGAAAGCATGATACCCTGCAATGGAAATTGAATTGTGAAAGTGGCTGGACCACCAGGCTGACGGATTAGAAAACGAGAAGCATTACCCATCCCCCAATCCTTTGGATTCAAAGAGGCAGAAGTTCTGCCTCACTGAAACATGCGATGAATCAATCATTTTCGAGTTGAAACAGTCAAGTGCCTTAATGCTTGTACACTTAAAAGTATATCACACGCTCTCGTTCTGGTGGTCTGTATCAGTGTACATGTACATGTATTACCGTGTATCAGATGACAAGAGTCTTGCCAAACTGATTACAGTCGTGCACCTCCAATTCGACACCGGTATCAGTCGATACCCTGCCAGATTTTATGATTACGCGAATCGGATGCGCAATTACCTTTGCCCATCACCACCCTCGCAATTAACCTCAACGGTTTTCCCCTCCTCGCCGAGGGATGACACGCCGCATCGATCTGATTTTAAATTTTGGATCGGACGTCTTCATACAAACACAGACTTTGATTTTTACCGCCAAAGACAATGGAACATCGCCCTTCCTCCTACATGTCACACAAAAGCAGTCTTTGTGCGAGCAGATCCTACATGCTCTCACTCCGAACTTGCTCGTTGGGCAACGGAGCGCTTGAACACCCCCCAAGCAGTAAAGCGCACTACCGTCCAGAGTATTCTTAAGCGGTCCGCGGCAGTTGCCACCTTGCCGAACTCCTATCGCGACCGGAAGCGCTGTTGCGCGCCCGCGATTCGCGCGTCTGACGCCAAGATTATGCAGAAGATTGGCGTATATTTTGTACTGAATTAACAAATAAACTATCAGTGCACTGGATTTGCGATTTGTTTTTTGCTTAACGCTGTGCACTTATGCCCTGGCACTGTTGATATGGTCCGCCCTGTCGAATCGGAGGTGCACGACTATATGTTGTGCGGCTGAAAGAGTAGGCACATACAGTAATCAAGTGGGCTGCGGGCTGATCTTTATGATTATGTGCCAACACAAGTTTCAGCTCGTCTTAATAAAATTAAGAACCATGTTTTAATACTACATGAACTAAGACGAGCTGAAATTTGGTGTTGGCACATAATCAAATGATTATGTGAGAGAGCCTACAGACTGTAGGCTAAGTTTACAGAAGCCCCCTCAATAAGCGTAGGGGGTGGTCGCCTGATAAATTTGCATAGGGTAATCGATTAGATCCGGTGATTTGGCAATTGTACCTACGATCCCTGTTATCGGGTATTTGAAGTGCATGCTACGCTTATTCAGGGGGACTTCTGTATTAGAGGCCCTGATTTCTCCGTCGGTGTATCAGACACTGTCAGACAGACAGTCTGTACATGTAGGTAAAGTATCAGCAGCTAACATGCGACATAATATATGCAACAGAAGTTGGGATGGACCCAGGGGCTAATCATTATCATATGATATTTTTTGATAGTACATGCTCTACATGTAGTATATCAAATATTAATACAAGCTCAGTTTTTCAAAAGCTAACATAATATTTTAAATTTGGCATAGATATTTAGATAATATTAGATACTAGATAATATTTTATGATATTTCCCACTTAAAGCCGTTCGACACGAGCGCACAAGCTAGTCCAATTACCAAAGCTGCAACAGGTACTTTACTATCTATTGATCAATCATATGTCACATGTTGCTAAGCTGTTTGTACTGCGTTTTGCTCCACAGCTTGCGAGGCAAGTTTTGTTTTTCCTGGTCCGACGAAATCGAGCTCACCTGCAAGTGCGGCTACGGAGAAGGCTCCTTGTAATTGTAATTTGAAAGTGAAAATGCAGGCTAAATAACAAACCATTTCTCTGTTTTGAATTACTAAATCGAATATTGTTTGATTGAAGCGCCAAATGCCGCGTAAGCCCATCGACTACGTTTTGCTACCCAAGGCTTTGCAGTGGACGATGTCAATGTTGAGGATTATAATCCCGGAGCGCGATCCTGACGAAAGACTGAATGATGATCTCAAAGAGATCCCCAGTACTACAATCTGCGCAAGACGAGGCCGAGAAAGCTTCGCGCGTTGATGCCGAGAAAGAGGCTGCCAAGAGGCATACAGCTGCTCAAGGCGACTTGGAGCCGGTCTCTGGACAGGTGCACGTTGAGGCAATCGATGATGCCACGGAAACTACTGTCGAAAGCGGTATAGCGGATGTCAGTACTGCGAGTCGTGACGCGGGCGGAACTGTACAGCAAAATGGCAACCTCAATGAAACCAACCAGGAAATCTCTTTGCGTACGTTTACACTTACATTACTGCGTATGCTGTTGATTACGTTGCTGCAAATGTTGCTCACTATGCTGCCTACGCGTTGTTGTATATGTTGCTTCATATGTTGCTACAAATATTTTTGCTTCATTGTTAAAGGCTCGATATTTGATAAAAACACACACCAAATAAAAAATATTTCCAGATCGACAAACCAGAAATGATTACAGACCCGACAGCTAAGAAGACTCGTTAAAGCATTGATTCCGTTTCTAAGCCGATTGCGCAAGTCCACACAGCTCGCAAGCCTACACGTCGAGCGAAAACTTGGCAATCTCGGGAAACCATGAAGAAGTCCCACACATCAGTTACAAATTATGTAACGGAACAACCGAAGAAAGTCATTAAAGACTGGAGTGAGCTCAATTACGTACTGGCGGATTACGCTGCGAGGAATTACTTGTGCTACCGGGTAAGAAGCTCGGAAACCCGGGCCAAGTACAACAGGTATATGGAAGCATTGATCGATAATATATATTTTTTACATTATGTCTAAATGTATGCTTTATTGTAGAATTGCACAGCTTCCATTAAAGATGACACATCGTTCTAAGTAGATATAGTGCACTCACGGATCGTCGCAAGAATCACGCGGCGAAGGCCGCCGAGACTACGATTTACCGGATGTGAAGCAGGTTTCCTCATACGCTCTGAGTCGTCGTGGATGGTCAAGCCACATGGGAAGTGATCGTTGCACCGGGAGCGGAGGTGAGTCTCAGACCAATTACCCTGTATCTAAGAGATATTAATATCTGATTGATTCACAGACATCGCTACACAACTACAAGACCAATAAAACTATCTACGATTCGCATCGTGGGGCGAAGACGATAGCACTCACCCCGCAAGATCGCCAAGAGCTTGGTCTGACCGGGATGAAGCGTCGCACGGCTGATATTAATCGATACTTGTCGGACAAGTTCGGTGGTGCTACTATTAGGCCACTTGCAGCTGAAATTTTTTACTGACGTTTTAAGTCAAACTTTACGATAAATTTGATATGATTTCGGATACAGATATGGTGCTTACACCTCAGCTGACAAGAAATATTGTGCGATAAGTGCTCAGCGAATCAAGTATTGAGAGATCCAAGGTTAATCTGGGCAGTTTGATGAGTAGTGGTAATGATGTACTTCTCATCCAGGATCAGCTTGAGATCACTTGTATCAATGCGATGCAATCGTCAAATCAGGAGTCATGCTTCCAGAACTAGAGGAGACAGCTTAGTCATGAACTGACCACATGGAACCAACAACCTAGGGGTATCACTTAGGTATGTTAAACTCAATTGGTTTTAGCTCTGATGCAGATACCATGAAAGTTCTTACCTAAATGTGTCACAGATATTTTGGCAGTCTTGCTGCAACATCAGCGACAGGAAGAGGAATTCCAGTCGCAGGTTTTCTTGCTCATGATCAGAAGGTAGCTACGATGGAGTACATCATCGAGGTTTTCAAGCGGAAGAACCCACCTTGGCGCAGGGCCCATAGCTGTCGTCATCGATAACGACTTTGCCGAAGGGCGGGTTCTCGAGAAAGCTTTCCCGGGCGCTAAGATACTTCTGTGTCAATTTCACTCATTTGCGTATTGGTGAAAGGTCTGCCGAGGTCTCAAATATGTTCGGAAGATGGATCAAAGATATGCGTTGGAGACTGCCTTTGCAAAACAGATTTATTGGTAAGGTTTTTTAATGTTGTGTTGTCTTCTGTGTTGCTTGTTATGCTGTTTACTGTGTTACCTATTATGTTATTTACTACCGGTGTCTCCAACAACTCATTGGCTAAGTTTGACGCTGAAGTAGACGTGCTTACTCGGAGGTGTAAGAAAAGTGCTCCAACCTGCTGGAGTATTTTCAAGAAAACAAGAAAACATTTAGTTCCATGTGAGCATATCTCGCTCGCGGAAAAACATTTCACCGCTCGGAATACGACGACCAACCGAATCAAGTCTAAATGGGTTCAGCTAAAGCGGCTCCTTGGCAAGAAACCGCATTTGACTTCACGATTAGTGACCTATTGGCACACCAACGGTTATTCGACTACAGATCGCTGCTATGCGCAAACACTCGACTACTAATCGCCAACAAGTTCAGCTCCCCACGTTTCTTTCTCTTTTAGCGAAACACATGTGCAACGACACGCTAGCGAAAGGGTGGGACTAGTGGGATTATTTTATGGTGATTTTGCCCAGAACATATTTGCTAAACGACTAGCTGACGTGGGTCAATGGGAAAAAGGCACACAAGGAAACGTTTCCCAGTGTAACGACTTTGCGTGGAGCTGGTCCTGCTTATTCTACTGCACCCACCATCTACCTTGCCAGCACCTGATGTATATCGCCGCTCAAGAACACCAGTTTGGAAAAATGCCGGTTTCGAGTATTCGGCCACGTTGGAGCATGAAAGAAATGGCGAAGCTCGATAAAGCCTTCAGCTGTGGAATAGCGCTGTTGCAGTCAGTTCAAGACAAACTGAAAGATACACCCGAGTCATCCTTGCATAGCGACGTAACTCAATGCTTAGTCTACGACGAAGTAACGGTAGAAACGCACAAGGTAGAAGCAACACACAAAACAACACACGGCGCTGAAGCAAAAAAGGAGTTCCTTGAAGCAACACAAATGGAGCAAGCGGCTCAAGGCTGGGAGCAGGAGGGCCAGTCCCGCTGGAGGAAAAAAGCAGCACATCTTGCCTGTCAAAGCTCGGATTTACGTAAAAATGCGGCGCCGTGAGCGTGCGAACGTTGACGTTCTGTCTTCTGAAGTAAACTACTGCTACACGAAAGCTGCATTTGAGCCTGTGTTGGATTATCGATCTCAACTATCTAGCCTAAAATTCTACATGGCAATACAGTTATGGCGGGAGGTAGTACGCAAGGGTATGCGAGAAATGGGCACCACATTATCGCAGAAAACGGCGGATTCCGAATCAGCGTCGGGCGACGATAGCGACGATTCAGCAAGTGAAAGTGCATCTGAAATTACTCCCGCCGATCTAATGTATAGCTTGAAGAAGAAGAGAATAGCCAGTTTTCTTCTGCTGCGGCTATACACACACCTCTGTCTAAAGCCACAACAGAATCTATGCTGAACCCCAACGGGTGT